ATCCATGCTGGAAATGGATTGACCACAAAAAAAGTCTATATAAAATGGCCGAAATGACTCATTCTCCATGTTTCATCATAGTTTTCCAGGATTTACCAGTCTGAGTCTTTCATGCTTACCCTGGAAAATGTACATCCGGGTGCTGTTTCACAAAATATACATTGTAAAGGGAAGTCTTACTGCGAAGATAAAACTGTTTTTCAAAACTATCTAGTAGATTTTGTACACATGCTACATTGATGATAGTTAGGTATCTGCCTACAAAAGTTTCAGTCCAATACACAAGTAAGACACAGAAGCTAAAGATAAACTTGACAATTAAACTACACCCAGAGTAACTTGACTGCATTCAAATTTTTTGCATAAGGCTATTTCTATAGAATTCCTAGCATATTTAAACATATTTTATAACTCATGTATTAAGGGAAAAGAAGATAGTCGAATTGATGCGATTGAATACATTTATTACTTTCCTGGCAACTGATCAAGGTGCGAGATCACATCATCATTGGCCATCATTTTTGTTTTATTTTCAGGGTTTGACTCAAGCAATCAATTGTGCTTTAACTCTGGTGAAGTGCGTGAAATATCAAACCTTATGCGAAGGACTGAGGTTTACAAATTTGGCATGAGCTCCGGGATAACAAGAGGAAGTTTTGCATTGTACGGAGGAATAGTACGTAAAGATATGTTAGGACAATGTAATGGTTTTGGATATAATCTAAAAAATCAAATGAAAATTATTCAAATTGGAGAGAACCCCTTTGCAGAAGAAGGAGATTCTGGTGCATTAGTTATGATAAAAGGAACACATGATTCAGCTGCTATTGGCATTGTGGAAGGAGGTATGAAGGGTTGTGTGTTTGTCACCCCGATTTGTGATATTTTAAGAGCTGTTGGTTGTACGGACGGAAAAATGTGCCAATTTACGGCGGGATGTAATGCAGTTTTGACTGATTCAGGAGTTGAAATGGATGTCTCTTAAATACTTAAACAGACATGAAAAAAGAAAATTCACTAAAATTGTAATGAAATTTTGTGATTTTATAATATATTGAGTGGTATACCCTGCTCAAGGGGAGGTGGGTATTTAAATTTGCCATTGTACATCTCCCTGTCAGAGCGTTCTTGCATTCCCATGTTATGTCACATAAAGCTCTAAAAGTGGTTGAGCTAGAGTAAATAAACTTAAATGGAATGATGATCAGCATGTAAGGTTGTGCACCTGGAATTTTTTGTGTGGATTATTTAACTTTTTGTCTGAGTTATTGCTCCTTGACTTAGTAAATTATTTGCGATTTTCAGTTTGTGCCCCGCGTAGCTCAAAACATGTTTCACCTAAGTTAAGAAACTGTATAGGAATGTTGGTCAGCATAATATGTAGTTGTGCACCTGTGGATTTGATTGTGAATTTATTCAGTACTTGCAATTTCCAACTTGTGTGTCACATAGCCCAAACAGTTATACTTGTACATTCATTTACTATTCATAAAGTTATTGCACTTAGCTATGTAAAAAATCAGTTGTCATAGGTAAATTTGCTGGCGGGACAAATAAACCTTCTAGTTTACTTTTGGATTTGCTAGTGGATTATTTCAGTATTTGTTACAATACTGTAAGAAGTTACAATTCTTGATTATTGAAAGATATTTTTATTTTCTCTAAAGCATACTTACGGATATGATTTTAGCTTGACGATAGGAAGTATATGGAGATCTGTCCTTCTAGCCCCGGAGTTGGTGTCCACGTCCAGATTTCAGATTAAAGTTTTGGTTAGCAAAGTATTTTCCACTATAATTTTTTCATTTCTCAAGGTATTAACTTCAAACTTCAAATATATGTTCCTTTTTATGAACTACATCTTATGTGACAAAGTTCATAACTCTAGCACCAATATTTCCAGATTTATGTCACCTTGAACTTGGAATTTTCCTCTTTTTTTTCTGTAAATTCTTTATTTCTTATAGGATCAACTTCAAATATATGTTCCTTATCATCAACCACATCTTATGTGACAAGATTCATAACTTTAGCACCAATATTTTTAGAATTATCTCCTTTTGAACTTAGAACTTTGCTTACAAAATATAACTTCTTTACTTTTGAAGGTATCTTCTTCAAATTTCAAATATACATTTCTTATCATTGCACACGTTGTGTTACAAGATTCATAACTCTAGCATCACTTTTTCCTGATTTATTCCCCTTGAACTTAGAATTTATCTTAACAAATGTTAATTTATGTTAACAAATGTTATTTTCTTTACTGTAACTTCTTGTCATATGGATATGAGCAAGTACTGGCTGGAATTCAACGAAACTTTATGGGACCCTTCAATACCAAGAGGAGATAAGCATACTGTTGCCTTGTTCTGGTCAGACAGTTAAGTCAGAGTTATGGCCCTTGATTAGTTATGCAGTATACATATAGGGCAGTAACCGTTTCCATGCTACTTCTCTACAACTACTTGCTGAAATTCAAATAAACTTTATGTGAACCATTTATACCAAGATGAGATGTGCGTAATTTGTTGCCTTGTGCAGACTAGATCCTTCGTTACAGAGTTATGACCCTTGATTTGTTATGCAGTATACATATAGAGCAATATTGCTATTTCTTTGCAACTGCTGTATTGATTTCAACAAAATTTTATGGGAACCATAGATACAAAAAGGCAATTTACATCTCATTGCCGTCACCAGATGTTACTATTTAACACTGAATTAATTAATGCTCTGTTATTGCCCTGAATATTTATTATGTAAAAAGAATATTACTGTTTACGGCATGATTAATATATAAATAAAGCCTTAGGTCTTTATTTGTTGTGTTAGTAATAACCAGTACTTGGCGGGGGATGACAAATTCAAGGAATTTGCTTGTTGTTTTTTATGCCGTGATAAGAATACGTTGTATGACTTGTTGTAAATCTACAAAATTACAATTTTATAAAATGCCCTTTTTACAAAAATGAAAAATCTATTCATTTCTGAGTCGTAATGTGCCTTTAAATGTATATATAGGGTAAATACATCTATTTAGTATGTAAGAAACATAATTATGATAACATGAAAATCATGTTATGACTAATTGAATGTTTATGTGAATTTTATGCTTACATATGTTACATGTATGTCTTATGAACACATGCATCAAACATGTATGTTTGTTACTTAGAATATAGATTACATCTATCAAGCACATTTGTAAACCTTTACATGTACATGATAAACAAATCTATATTGGTCATATTAATGCTTACAAAAATTATATGACGTTAGGATAAGTTAATGCTACAATATGTTATGTCAATTGAACATAAACATTTAACATGAATGTTTAAAACTTGAAATGTACATTGAACAGTATCTAGTAGACGTTATTCTGCTATCATAAATAAAAAAACTTGTATGACAGCATTTATTAATTTTGAAACTTGCACAGTTGTTTTCACTTTATTTGGAACTTTACTTGTTTATCTTAAATAAGTCGGTTTTAGAGGAAGGATAAGAAGTTAATAAACTACTTAAAGATTCAGAAATTGGTTGACTAACATTTTGTCTAATACATAGGTTAAAAGTTGAAATCATCAGAATTGATAGAAGTGTATTCACTTTGTATGGAAATTTGTTTGTTTTTTGAAATAAGTTTGTTAATAAAGAATTGGAAGTTAATAAATTACTTTAGATTTCTATCATTGGTTGACTAATATACTGTTTTATTACATGTATTTAACACTTTATATTGTTTATGGTTAAACAGATTAAATTAAATTTTATCAGAATGGATACAATAGATCCATCTTTTTTAATTTATCAAACAATGATGACATGTATATCAGTATAAAGAGATGTTAATAAAATGTAATATATAAAATTTGATTTTGTCTTAGAAGGTTTATGAAGCATTGTTATTCTGCTGATCTTGTTACTATTGAAATACTTTAAGAAATTAAATATATTTGTTTGATAGGTTAGCATGTACACTTAACAAATCTTATAAGTGTGCACGTATAAAAATCAAATTTTCTCAGATACTAATAAACATAGATCTCTGAAATTTTAACCAAGTATAGTACAGATATGTGCAATGATGGATATCGATTTTTATGTCAGGGCGATTCGTACTTACTGAGAAATAGCGATGTGTGCAATATTGCGCGAAAACCGAATTTCACATTTCTGTAAAATGTGTATTTATATTGGGTGCAAAAAGGTCTAAATATCTTGATTTCACTAAAATACAAGCATAAAACATAGGATCACCGATAGGGTATAATACTACAATGAATTCCAGGGCATTATGTCACTGTGATTTTAATATTTGCTTTATTGAATTTCAATAAAGACTGGTTTATGTCGATCTCCGTAACGCGTTGTACCCAGTTGCTAAAACCAATGCAAACACGATATTTTTATTAATATGAAAGTACCAAGAAAGTTTGTTTTTAGTTTTAAAGTAAAATCTTAGTCAATATGTTTATTTGAGAAAATATTATGCAAATTTATTTTCAAAATGGGCGCCTGAAATGCAAATTCCCTTGAGTAAAACTTCTAGACGGCCATTTTTCTTTCAATTGCGAAAATTCTGCAATAAATTTATGTTTTTTGGATGTCTTTAATTTAATAGAATCCTTGATGGTCAATAATAACTTCATTTAGCGCCAACCTGTCACCCTCACGTGCACTTTGTTGTTTATGTCATGTCACGGATGAACGCACACAACAAAAATAACCGTTATTTCTGAATATAGCATTGTAAAAATAAACCATTCAAACGATTAATTCCAAAATTTGGGTAAAAAATGTCAAGTAATTTAAAAGTTATTCACATTTAAAAACTGCACAGTTATAAGTTTTGTTAAGTGTATGTGTGACTTTCATAATAAAAAATTGTACACAATTGATTGGTTTATTATTTGTTTGTTGTCCCCTCTTTTACAGAACTAGTTGAGGGTATAAAACTTGTTGAAAATTTACTTCCAACTATTTTTAGCTCACCTGTCACAAAGACAAGGTAAGCTTTTGTGATCACCATAAACTTTTACTTTAAACAACATCTCCTCATAAACCGCTAAGCCAATTTCATCCAAATTTCACAGGAATCTTCCTTTGGTTGTTACCTTTAAAAATTGTTCAGAGACTCCAATTCCATGCAGAACTCTGGTTGCCATGGCAACTGAAAGAAAAAAACTTTAAAAATATTATTTTAAAGAGTCTTCCAAAGAGCTAGAGCTTAGATATTAAGCATGACACATCATCTAGTGAGTGTCTATCAAGTCTGTTCAAATAAAATTCCCGGGGTCAAAATTGGCACGCCCCGAGGGATTATTGATTTCCTAATATGTATATAGTAAAACCTTTAAAAATTCTTCTTAAAAAACACCCAAGGTCCTAAAGCTTATATATTAAGCATAAGCAATTTTCAAATGGGTGTCTACCAAGTTTATTTAAATAAAAGCCCTGGGGGTCTAAATTGGCTCCACCCTGGGGGTGATTATTTTTCCTTATATGTAAGTTTTAAAAACTTAAAAGATATTCTTTTAAAAAATACAAATTGCTAGACTCTAGAGCTTAAATATTAAGTATGAAACATCTTCTTGTAAGTGTTTATACCATCTTTGTTCAAATAAAAGCCCTGGGGTAAAAATTGTCCTCGACCTAGGGGGTCGTTGATTTTCGTTATATGTACAGATATCTTTTGGCAACCAGTAAAGTTTTTACACATGCACTATTTCAGATCCAAATATGAATTTTGTTGTATCAGTTTAAGATTTAGATTATATATATATTTTTGTTTATAGTTAACAATATTAATTGTTCTTTGTCGTGGATAGTTTCTATATTCAGGTGAGCCATTTCAGATCCATCATGGCCCTCTTGCCTTATAAAGCAAAGACTCAGCTGTCATAAATCTATTTAGAATATATGCACTGTACTCGTGTAAGAATGCAATGTGGCCGAGTGGTTAACAGGTCGGACTAGTCATACAAAGATTGCTGGCCGTGTGGGTTCAAACCCATCAGGACCAATCCATTAAATTAGATGTTTCCCTGAGCAAAACACTCACTGCTTAGTACTGGTTGGTTCCAGGAATAAATTCGAGAGTGTTTCAATAAGCTTATAGCCATGACACTATCAAACTAAATTTAATAAGTTTAAACTAAGCTAATGTTAGAATGAGACATAACGTGTAAGAAAGAAACACGGTCATTATCAACAGAACTGCAACAAGAAAATTGTCTAACATATCGACAAGTCTGATAAAATGCAAATTAACAGTACTTTTAAATACATATAGGGAATACTTAAGTTTGTTAGCGTATACTCATAGTATATGACATCACGTATATCGATATACAAATAATACCAGTGATTACAAACTACATGTGATATCTTCAGTGTTTTCTCTGTATTGTATGCTAAGTTTGTATAAAAATTTGTAAATTACACAGGCCATGTCATAAAATATTTGAAGCCTGCAGGTTATGCCATTAAAAATTATGTCTGTAGGTTATTTTCATAAAATGTAAAGTCTGAAAGTTTTTTTTCTTCTAAAAATAGTAAAGT